GGAGAGAAAGAATAAACACAATTATCCCAATTCTAAGGATATATTAATAATTTAACATCTGGATGACCAAAATTATCTGTCTACTTGTAAGAACACGATACACATTAAGCTACTCAGAGGCTTCTGGTGGTGAGCATATTACACGGGATGTGATTTGTCCTTCTGAATACATCATCTTGTCATTGTTAAACAAGAAATAAATTAAAACTCAAGTTTTTATTTAAAAATTTAAATCTTTTTGTTGTTGTTGTTGTTTTTGGTCATGAGGACTGAACTCTCGGCCTGGATGATATCCCTAAGCTCTTCAGCTCAAGGCTTGTGCTCTTCCACTTGAGTCACAGTGCTACTTCTGACATTTTCTGCTTATGTGGTACTGAGGAATCGAACCCAGGGCCTCATGCATGCAAGGCCAAGCACTGAGTCGCCTTCCCAGTCCCCAAAATTTAAATCTTTAATAATTGCACAAAGACATTTTTCTTTTTCTTTCTTTCTTTTTCATTTTTTTGGTTTTTCATGGGGCTTGAACTCTGGGCCTGGGCGCTGTTCCTGAGCTCTTCAGCTCACAAAAAGAGCTTTTACCTCAACCTTTCCACTAATATATACAAAGGATCATGATCAGTATCACCCCTTTCATCATTCTCCCTCTTCCACATATGAGGTTTTGCTTCTGTCATTATTCTAATTTCCAGTTATACAACAGTTGAAATCATACTTAACAAAGAAGTCCCCAAGCGATGTCCACAGTAAATTACTTCTGATTCTAGTTCTGTTAGTTAGCCAGGAGGAAAATTAACCCCAAAGGACATCTTCATGTGGTGAATATGTTTCAGGCTGATGGAAGAACCTCACAGAAAATGTCATTAATATCTTGGAGGTCATCTCATGTCACTTCTGAAAGGAAGACTAAACAAGAATCTGACCTAAGGAAAGCTGTTAGTAAGTCAACTCTTCTCTGACTCTCCTTTAAAATAACCATTAATATATTTTTGTGTTTGTGTTCATGTGTGCCCATGGTGCATGGAGATTAGAATTGATTAGCATCTGTCATTTTCAGAAAAGTATTCATAAGCCTTGTTTTATCTCTTCTAACAGGATGTTTTTTGGTATATTTGACACCCCTGGTGTCCTGCCTCCAAGCTGCTCTCAGGTCTCCCAGACATCACATTCTTTTGATGGGCTACTCAGTGAGAAACTTCCAGATATCTTTAGTTAAATCATCCATCCCATTTAAGACAATATTTTGTGTGTTGGGTGAGTTATATATGAAAGATCATTTGCAACATACACAGAAACAATATGAGTAACAAATTTAGACAAGATTTTTACATTATACCTGGTAATGAAGTAAGGTATTGGGAGTTAGTGATATCCACTTGAACATCTTGTATGTGTACTGCATCCAGTCCATGTTTTTAACAATACAACATATTTCCTGAGGATAAAATTCCTTTTGCAAATTATAAACATAGAATTTCGTGTTATTATGAAAAATATTAATAGAAAGAGTGTATATGAAAATGTTACTTATTCACATACTTTTTAGAGGAGAACATTTTTGAATCCTATTTCTAATTTTCCATGTTTATTAATGCTGGAACATAATTTAACCTACATTTTGAGAACTCTTCTGTATACAGATAATAAATCCAAAGTTGATCCAGTAGTATTTTCTATTGACACTTATAAGTTCCATTAAAATATTGGTAACTCTTCCTGAAAAGAGTTCAGTGCAGGGTGAAAATATTAAGTTTCTTAAAAGCAGGCAGCATTCCCAACATGCTCTATTTATGTGTAAATGCTAAAGGGCTGCTGAGTATGTATGTTAATTAGAATTAAATGAAAATAGTATTTTAAAGAAAGTTTAACACATATTTCACTTACATAAATACTTGGAACTACAACAAATATTTTATCAAAACAGTTTGGAATTCACATTAATTTAAAATAAATCTTAAAATTATGGAAGATAAATTATTTGTACTTGTCAGCATTTAGTGAATACTTAAGGAGTTTGTGTTTTTTTTTAATTTCTGATTTATATTCACAGCCTATCTGCTAAGTTGAATATCTTTTTCTCCAAATGAAGTAATAAAAAGCAGAAAAAGCTTTTATTGCAAATTCACAAGATTTCAGATCAGGCAAAATATGGCTAAGTAAAATGTAAGCCATTAAATCGGCTAATTCTTCTGAGAATTTTGAGTAATATTAGGAGTAATATCATATGTTCAGTTACTCACATATTAATAATAACAACACTTATTTTGTTAGGAAAGTGTGATTTAATATTGTTGAATTATTCCCTAAGGAAATTTCTATTTATCTTTTAGCAAATTTTCTCTAATGTACATTTAGAATACTGATTTTGCTACTAGCTATTCAACAGGTACCAAACTAGTTATTAAACTTTTCTCTTATAAAGTTTGTATTGATAAATTTCTCTTGAAAAAGTATTAAAGTTTTCTTGGTTTCATGAATGTGTTGGAGGACATATCAAACAACTATTTTTAGAAATTAAATAAAGCTTTTTTATTATGGAAAGATGTATATATTTGTAAGTTGTTAAGACCATTATTATCTATATCTGAGCTAATTCCTTTTGTGAGAATTTACTCAGGTCAGTGGTTCTGAGTTCTCTTTATAATGTCAGGAAAATGTATTGTTCACAGTAAGAAAGGGTTTCCATTGTTAATCAGCTTTCCTTGATGCCACCCTGGAGATTTCACAGTGCGAGTTATGTGAGACACATAAACTGAAACATTTCCAAGTAAGAAATAACAAAAGTCACTTTGCACTAAATATCATTTGTATTGAGAATTTTGAATTTACCTATAGCTTACTGTAAATAATGTTACTGTCATCTTTAAAGGAAAATAATAAGTAATGAATAATTTAATCTTATATTCAACACAAGCATTTGAAGATATACTTTGCTTGCACATGAATATAATTCCTTTTCATGTACAAAATACACAAATAGACTGATAGAGAGTGGTCAGCAACTTTGTTGGTCAGGGGATATTATATAATCTATATATTTCTCAACATCCCTTTATATGCAGAAATTTTTCCAGAGGTCTTAATGTCAGAATCTTCCAATTGCCTTTGAGTTTTTAGAGTTTATTACCTGATAGGTTTTAATTGTAATATATGATGCATGCAATCTTTTTTCTTCCAAGCCATTGTGCCAAAAAATGCATGATATTATCATCTATTGTCTCTACTAAAGGTTATCTCATTGGTTAACTATTTAGTTGTATGATACTTTGTAGAAGATGTTCTACCTATGGTTATAGATATTTACATGCAGTTGAGAGAAAGTGCAATGCTGTATCATGTTTTTTAAACTAGATAACATCTGTTACAGATTTTATTGTCAATACTCAGGCATGAACTCAGTGTCTCATGCTATTTATTCAAGACTGATGCTCTACTACTTGAGACACATCTCTATTTCTGGCTTTTTGTTGGTTAATTAGAGATAATAATCTCACTGACTTCTGTGCTTACTCTGGCTTTGAACCATAAATTCTCAGTTCTCTGTCAAGAAACAAAGATTACAGGTAAGGAGCCACCAGCACTCATCTCTGTACATTTCTTTTTCTTTTTTTTTAGTGTGCCTAATCCATTTAATGAAGAAGTAATTTTTTTGTTTTTCAAATTTTTATTGTGATTAGGTGGTAACATAATATCCCAAATTTCACAGTATTGTGGGATAGTGATGCTTAGTTAAAGTCACAAACACATTCTAACTTTCATGGAGCAAATTGTCTATCATGGTCTATAACATTTATGAGTTCTATGAATTTTGCAATACAGTTATTTCTTCCACATTGGGTGATATGTACATTTCTTTTGTTTTGCATAACGTTAGCTGTTCCCTCTTTCCCACTTGTTCCCTCCCTCCCGTTGCTGCCATTGAGTTGCTTAGTTCATTTTGGTCAATGTCCAGTGCAGCTGATGGATCCCACTGTTGTATGTTTTTCCCTGATTCCCTGTTAAATCCAAAATGTAGGGTGATACAACAAAATTAACAAGATTTAAGAAACAAAGGACTTGCACTCATCTGGTTGAATCATTACTAAATAACCTCATGCTGCTGATCACATATATGGTATATATGTGCACACAGGAGGGAAACCAGGAGGATGACACAGAACTAGAAGGAATCTATACATTCTTAAGAATAACATCCCTGCAATGAAAGAGGTTATATTGATCAGGATGAATTGTACTTATGAACTGACAAGCTGAATTATATCTGTTTGGTATAATTACTTAAAGATAATATTCATATAATGTTTTAGAGTTTTATCCTTTTCTGCAGAGGATGCATTCCAAATTCTCTGTGGATGCCTGAACCACATTATCAAATTTTTATGCTATGTTTATTTTTGTGATAAATTCATACTTATGATAGGGTTTAAAATATATTAGGCTAACAAGTTAAGAATAACTTACAATAAAATAAAGAAACCAAAACTATTGCAATAAAAGTTATTTTGAAACCTCTCTGAGCCAGGAAATTGCTAACACACTTGGAATGAAATGGATACCAGGCAACTCAAATAGTGGTAAATGGAACTCAGATGAAAAGGATGACTATCTGAACAAATTACAATTATTTAATGCAGTAATCATTGGTCCTCACAGAACTTTTTATGGTAGGTGAGAGTTGCTAGCTTCCTGATGACACCATAATAACTCCATAGCCTTGCTCCATGCATTCCCACCCTCCCATAATTCCTTTTTCTGACAGAACTCTCTCAATAAATTATGTGCAGAGCTGTCCCATCACAAGCTCTTCTCCTGAAAGCCAGTCTTGGGGAATTAATTTCTTTGGGCCATATACTAGCATGTACACTGACAGTTTTTCTCAGGATTACACTTTAAATCTTTGATGTAAATTTTTATATAAATAACAAATTCTAAAATTCACCCACCTCTTTTCATCCCAATAACTGCCATATCTATATTATTTCAGAGACCAGAGAGTGCACAAAATGGATGCTAGAAATCACTCTATGGTGTCTGAATTTGTGCTTCTGGGACTTGGACACTCAGACAATCTTCAAGTTTTGCTCTTCATAATATTTTTTACTCTTTACCTGATCATTGTTCCTGGTAATATTGTAATTATTTCCTTAATCATCACTGATTCACATCTCCACACTCCCATGTACTTCCTGTTGGCCAAATGTCCCTTATTGATATGTGGCTTTCTACAAACACCACTCCCAAAATGATTGCAGACATTTTCAGGAAGAAGAAGACAATTTCCTTTGTAGGCTGCATGTCACAAATCTTCTTTTCCCAATTCATTGCAGCACTTGAGATGGTACTTCTGGTGATGATGGCCTATGACCGCTATGTGGCCATCTGCAAACCTCTTCATTATTTTACTATTATGAGCCTGCGAAGATGCATTGGGCTAGTGGTGACTGCCTGGGTAATTGGTATTGTGCATGCCATGAGTCAACTTGTTTTTATTGTACCACTGCCCTTCTGTGGCCCCAGAGAAATAGACAGCTTTTTTTGTGACAGACCACTGGTAGTTAAGTTAGCCTGCATGGATCTCCATAATTTGGAAATTTTCATGAATGTCAACTGTGGAGTTGTAGCTGTCATTCCTTTTTTTCTGTTGCTAACCTCCTACACACATATTCTTCTCACTGTCTCCAAAAGCTCAAAAAGGAGTGCATCCAAGGCCCTCTCTACATGCAGTGCACACATCACAGTGGTGGTTCTCTTCTTTGGACCCTGTATCTTCCTCTATGTATGGCCACTCAGCATCACCTCGATGGACAAATTTCTTGCTGTGTTTTACTCTGTTTTTACACCTCTTCTAAATCCAGGGATTTACACATTGAGAAATAAAGAGATTAAAATTGCCCTGGAAAGACTCAGGAGCTACTATGTGAATTCCAAGGGGAAAACTCAATGCCTAGAAACTTAATGATACCTCATTACCAGGGAATAATTTATCAGTCTTCTAATATCTTAAACTATGTAAAAATAAGATTTAAAATTATTTTAGTAGAGGTTAATATCTACTCCAATGGATTGAATTTTAATAATGCTAAGGTATTTTTATTCTAACCTCATTTCAGAAAAATACAATTTCACACAAATTTTTTATTTCATTTTCTCAAAATATTCACTCAGTACTTTTTTCTTAACCAGAATTACTTAGTTACTAATTGAATTAGAGAAAAGCAAAAAAAACAAAAGTATTGAAATAAAATTGCTAAAGTATATGAGGAATAATTAAATCAACCTTGCTAGGAGATCATTAATTTGGCAACAAAAAAGTTATATTTAAAAAGAAAGCTTCAGTGACTATATTTAGTAGTCTATTTCATTGCAAACAATCTCACTGGATACAAGTAACTTATATTGAGAATGTAACATAGGCAAAACTTGACAGATGTGTGTGACGTGTAAAACCTTATGACCAATTAGAAGTAACAGATAGTTGTAAAATATTTTGACCCAGAACCTTAGCATGCATCTTATTTTGCAAATTACAAAGAAGAAATATTTAGACCATATTTAGTAAACAAAAAGGATAAATATACTTGCAATGTGGGAGGCTGGGTGGCCTCTGTGGCACCCTGGGTGCTGAGGATGTCTGGTCTGGGCAGAGACTGTGGGCCAGAGGAAGGAATGGTTTGTGATACCTCGAGTATCCCAGCAAAGCCAGGCAGCCCTGCACAGCCCTCCATTCCCCACTGCCAAGTGGGACTGTACCGGCCTCTGGCAATGAACTCTGGGCTATGGACTCGGGGGGGCGGGCTCAGATCTTCTCTACCCCAAGACTTTCTTTGCCAGAGGTGCCTATTCCTCTAAATAATTTGTTTTCTCATCATGATTTCTTGACCTCACATTGGATTAAAGTTGCCATTTCACAGTTAGAATGCAAGAAAACTAGGTGGCTTGGAGGAAAAAAAGAAAATAGTATTTGAAAATTCTGAAAGTGTAAATAAACTTATAGATTTAAAACTCACAAAGACGTTTGTACCTAAATAGTTACTAAATCTTTATTTCAGTAGCCCAGAGTGGAAGAAACCTAATGTCCCTGATCAGATGTAGGGCATATACATAAAATGGAATATTATTCAAAAGCCCAAAAGAATAATAGAGTACACTCTTCACAAACAAAATGTAAATATTAAGAATATGAATTGTAGATGCCCCTTCAAAAAGTGTATATAATATGTGATATTATTTTTGTGAACTAATGTGAACTAGCAAAAAGAATGATAACACATATTAAAGATTGTCAGGAATGTCTGGATGGTATGGAAAAAGATGTTATCAAAGAGCAAGTGTCTTTGGAAACTGAGGTATATAAATTTTCTATCTCTTGATGGTAAAGATGTTTTCATAACTAAAAATAACATCAAAACTCATAAAATTTTACAAGTTATGTCAATTGTATCATGAAATGGTTGTTTTAAAATTTAGTATGTCAAAATAAATTTATTTTAAAATAACACTGTGTTTCTTTTACATCCATAAAGATAGTACTATCACATCCAGTGAATAATTGTCAGGAAATTATGTAACTATAGAAATCCTTCACTTGGCTACTGACCAAGATCAATAGTCTAATTAGACAGATTTGGAATGTATTTATATATGATAATGATGTCAAAATCGTTGTTCAAAGTTATAGTAATGAGTGTGATCTCTCTTAAAATTAAAACTAAGATCCTGATTAAATATGTTTATGGAGACTAAAATAAAAATTAATTTTTATTGAAGACAAGTCATTAATAGTATGCATCAAATGAAGAAGAACTTTAAATTTTTCATTATTTTTTAATGCTGGGTTAATTTGAGACTTATCACTTCATATGACTGTTAGAACAGACCAAAGATGAAGTATTCTTACTTATGATTTATGTTTGGAATGAGGAAAAGTTATTTTCACTCAAGGGACTGCTTCAGGTGTATATAGGTCAGAGTGAAGAAAATCACTTCAAAAATTCCATCCAAGCACACTTCTGGAGAAAAAACTATAATGGAATCTAAACTTAGAAAATATATATTTTAGTAAGTATATTGACTTCTCTTGGACTTTCAAGATAATTAGAATATTTCTATGTGTTTATTTCTCATATGCCCATTATGCCCAGAGACGAGAATGACTTGTTTAACATCTGGAGTTTCCGGAAAGCAATTCAATTGTTTGTCTCTTTCTATTTTGCACTTACTGGGGTTTCACCAATTACACAATCAAAAATAAGAAGTACTGGCTTCTAGTTCCTTCTCACTTCTAACAGGATGTCAGTTCTTTGAAGACCACTCAGACTGAAAAGTTTCTAAGTATTTTTATTTAAATGGTTACCATTTGAGAGAACAATATTTCATGCTAGATAAAGCATTTCATGTAAGGTATTTTGTACAGAGAAATGTGAAATGGGTGAAGTTATGCACAAAATTGGTTAGTACAGAAATTTGACTTAAATCTGCTAACCTGAGAGCAAAGGAAGGCATCAGGTGTGAATGTGAGGATACTGGGTTTTCTCCTTGTTTGTTTTACCCAGTATATATGTGAGAAACATATAATTTTGTAAAATATTTTTTAAATATTTTAAAGTATTTTTATAAAATATAAACATGAAGAATCTTACTATTTTAGTGCTCTCATACTCTTAAAAGTTAAAAAATATTTTTTATTTAAAAGAATGAGTAAATATGCAGGACTATAAACCTAACAGGAAGTGGCTCAGATTATCTCTTTCCTTTTATGATTCAGTGGCATTGTTTTCAGATCGAACACTGTTATACTTTTAGAAATCTCTCTGAGTGAAAAATATGAATTTCAAGGATATTTTTGCTGCTTGCTTCTTCAGTTCCTCTTAAAAAAGTAAGAATCTCTTTGAGGAAGACAGTAAATGCAGACTAAATTGTTACATTTCTGGTAAAAATCATGATGAAGAGATGTTTTTCATTGTTCGCTTGCCTTCCTTGGTAACAGATTAGAGATACAAAGTAATAAAATAGATAAGATACACAAAACTGAAACAATGACAAATGAAAAAACTAATAAATTCAAAAGGGAAAGAAGCCATATTTTCCCTGTTCATATTGAGAATTCTATATTTATATGAATAAGTACAGAACAAATATGTAAAAAGAAGTTTAACATGAATAAAAGGCAAAACAAATCAAAACCACAATAAAAATGTAAGAGTAGGCAAGGCCATGGAGAAAGAGAAAACTTTGGAAGCGTTTTAAGCAATGGTAATTCTTTCCAGAACTGCATAAAACAGAATGGAGTCTTCCAAAGTATTTAAATTGAAAGATTGTGACTCAGAAATCTCATTTCTGTTTATATATTAAAGAAAGTATGCATACTCACATTCAGTGCAGCAAACTTCACAATACTAAGGATACAACCTATGTACCATGAAACAATAAGAGGATTAAGAAAATTTTGGTGGTAGTATAAATAAGGGCACTATTTATGTTGGCAGATGTATATATACCCTTGTTTTTACAAGTTATGTGTAAATTATAAAATAATTATGATTCCTATTGTTTCTTTCACACATTGTATCTTTACTAGTGCACAATGATTTGCACTTGATTTGCATATTTTACTAAAAATAAATACCATTAAATATGATGCCATTGCTTACTGGCAATAGGATTCTCAAATTGGCAAGGAAATTCACACAGTTTTAAGTTCCAAGAATAAGGCCAATACAATATTAAAGTCTATATTGAGGAAATATTTTCTAGAAATAACTCTGTTGTAAATTTCTGTAAAAGTCAGTGTTCAGAAGTTTCCGTTATGATTTGAATATATAGTGTTGCCTAAAATTCTCATGTGTTATGTTTGGTCTAAGCTGTTGGTGATTCTAAGAAGTGATTGGATCATATGTGCAAATAACAACCAATTTATTCAACTACACCTTCATCTCAATAAGTTCACCTCACCACAGAATGAGTTACTAAGAGGTTATAGCAAGTTCAAGGAGGTAAGTCACCAAGAACATGCCTTTGAAGAATGTTTCTTTCAAGGCTCTTTTTGTCTTTCTCTGAATTTGGGCCAATATAATGTGATCTGTTTTGATGCATCATGTTCTCTCCAAGCTTTTGATTCTTCCTCCCAGAGGCCTCAAAGGAAAGAATCCAGCTGATCATATTCTGAAAGCAGGTATTTTTTAAAGCAATAACAATATACTTTCTCATAAAATTCTTTCCCTTTGTGACTTGACAATTATAGAATGCTGATTAAGTGTATTTTGAAAAGTTTTTAGTAGACTACAGTTTTAGTGACGTTTTACAAGCACAGAAAAATTGAGCAGAATACGCAAAGTTCCCATGTTCCTCCTTCTCATATTCAACCTTCTCCACTGTCAACACCCCAAATAACAGTATAGTCCATTGTTTTACATTTTACATTAAGGTTTACATTTTTTGTGAAAAAAAACTGTACAGAAGGGCTTACATTTTGTAATCATACATTTGATAAGTTTTACAGAACTATAATCATATGTATCTATTTTTAACAGAACTATAATCATATGTATCTTTTTTATTTTATTGTCAAGTTGATATATGGAGGTGTTAAAGTTATGTAAGTAAGGTAGTGGTTACATTTCTTGTCTACTTTCTTACCCTTTTCCTCATTTTTCTCCCTCTTTCCCTTCCTCCACCCCTCTCAAGTTGTACAGATCATTTCCAATATATTGTCTTGTGAGTATCACTGTTACATAGGTTCTCCATAGCTCCACTGAATAAAGAGATTTCATTCTTGCCCATTTTCCACCTTATCACCTAATCTTTGGTTATCTAACCTTTTGTCTATGTGACAGGTGATCTAATATTTTTACTGTTTTCTCAAACTTTTTTTGCCTAGGATGACACAAAGTTACAATTAAACAAATTGCACTCATTCTGTCTAATATAGATATATACATTTTAGTATACTTTGTGTAT